TCTATTTTTGATGAAATGGTATTTTCTATCGATATGTATTGATCTGCCATGACCTCTTGCTTCCTTTATCAAGGCAACCACTCCTTTGTTATCACAGAAAATTTCCATTGGCTCCTTAATGGTTGGAAAAACTACAAGGTCTCCGATGAAGTTCTTCAACCAAATTGCCTCCTTTGATGCTTCGCTCGCTGCTATGTACTCTGATTCACAGGTAGAATCAACCATTGTTTCTTGTTTAGAACTTTTCCAGCTTACCGCTCCTCCATTTAAAGTAAACACCCATCCATATTAAGAACAAAAGTTGTCTCTGTCGGTTTGAAAGTTGGCGTCACTATATCCAGTTACTCTCAATGTATCACTGCCACCAAGTACCAGGACCCAGTCCTTAGTCCTTCGCAGATACTTGAGAATTTTCTTAACTACTATCTAATGAGCTTTACCTAGATTTTCCTGATAACGACTGATCATACTAAAAGCAAAGGCCACATCAGGGCGAGTACATGTCATAACATACATGATAGAATTAATGGTGGAAGCATATGGAACTCTACTCACTTCTGCTATCTCAGCATCCATACTTGGGCTCTGATTCTTACTTAGTTTGGTATTACTCTGTATAGGCAGTTCTCCTTTTTTGGAATTTTACATACTAAAACGTTTTAGTACCTTTTCCAAGTATGTATTTTGACTAAGTCTAATTAGACTTTTACTCCCGTCTCTCAAAATTCTTATCCATAGAATATAAGCAACCTCTCCCAGATCCTTCATAGCAAAACACTTTCCAAGACAAGGCTTAACCTCTTTCAAGGTTGGAATGTCATTTCTTATAAAAAGTATGTCATCAACGTATAAAACTAGGAAGATTAATATACTGCCACTAGCTTTGACATATACACATGATTCATCTTCACTTCTAGAGAAGCCAAACTCTTTGACCATCTCGTCAAAGCAAAGATTCCATTTACGAGAATCTTGCTTCAATCCATAGATTGATTTCTCAAGCTTACACACTCTATTTTGATACTTTGCATCTACAAAACCCTCTGGATGAGTCATGTAAACATCCTCAACCAACTTCCCATTAAGGAAATTAGTTTTGACATCCATCTGCCAAATTTCATAGCCTTGAAATGCAACTATGGTTAGCATTACCCTAATAGATTTTATCTTGGCAACTGGTGAGAAAGTCTCGACATAGTCAACCCCTGGGGTTTGAGTAAAGCCTTTCGTAACCAGTCAAGCTTTGAAAGTGTGTACCTTTCCATCCATGTCGGTCTTCTTCTTGAAGATCCATTTGCACACAATTATCTTACGACCTTGTACATTATCAACCAAATTCCAAACTTGGTTGTCATATATGAACTTGATCTCGCTATCTATTGCCTCTTGTTGTTTGGCTGCCTTAGTGCCTGCCATTGCTTCATTGTAGTTAGCCGGTTCATCCAAATTTACTAGTGTACTATTACTGATAAACGTGTCACCAACTGTAGTAATATGGAAACCATATAACTCAAGTTGCATTCTAACTCTATTGGAGCGCCTAAGAGGTAATGACTCATCAACTGGTTCAACCGTAATCTCTTGATCAGGTTGAGCCCTAGCATCTTCAGAGGTTCCTTCATCATTTCTTCAAGATCAATGGTACTCCCACTTTCCTCTTTGCATATGAGTTCTCTTTCTCGAAAGACTCCCCTTCATGCTACAAAGACCACGTTCTCACTAGATCTGTAAAACAAATATCCAAAGGACTTCTATGGGTAGTCGATGAAATACATCTCTCACTTTGAGGTTCAAGCTTGTCTTGATTCTCTCGTCTAACAAAAGCTTCACACCCCCAAACCTTGATAGGTGCTAACGAGGGAACCTTCCCTGTCCACATCTCGTGTGGCGTTTTGGCAACCTTCTTAGTTAGGACAAGATTAAGAACGTGGGCCGCAGTCTCTATGGCATACCCCTAGAATGAAATTAGAAGAGAATCTTGAATCATCATGGAATGAACCATTTCCAACAAGGTTCGATTGCACCTCTCAGGCACACCATTAAGTTGTGGTGTCCTAGGAGGTGTCAGTTGTGAAACTATTCCACATTCCTTGAGATAGTCTTGGAACTTGATACTAAGATATTCACCACCTCTACCGGATCTAACCATCTTTATCTTCCTGCCCAATTGATTCTTGACTTCATGTTTAAACTCTTTGAACTTCTCAAAGGTTTCTGACTTATGATTTTTTAAGTAGGTATAACCATATCTACTATAATCATCGGTGAAAGTCACATAGAATTGATTTGCATCCCTTATGGTGGACCTGAAGAGCCCACACACATCTATGTGTATGAGGTCCAACAACCCTTCACCTCTTTCACAAGAACCAGTGAAAGGTGAATTTTCCATCTTACCCATAAGACAAGATTCACATTCGTCATCTGACCTTAGGTAAAATGATTCCAGCACTCCACCCTTTTGGAGTTGGGCGATGCATTTCTTGTTAATGCGTCCAAGACGAAAATACAACAGACATGCTTTGTCTATACCATTAGACGAATCAATCGGAAATACACTATTGCCTAAATTGTCTACACACATCACAATTTCATACACACCATCACAAGGTAAAGCTTCAAAATAAAAAATACCATTTTTATAAGCAGAAATAGAAATTATCATCATTAAAAGAATATCTAAAACCATGTTTAAACAATGCATGAAAGGAAATAATGTTTCATGTCATTTTTGATGAGTAGAAACAATTTAATAAATCTAATCTAACTCCATCACTATGTACTGGACTATAAACTCCAATATTTATGATAGATGAAGATCGCCTATTCCCCATGATCAAGTTTATTCTACCGTGCTCCACATCCTCACTTTTCTTAGCCCCTGCAAATAAGAACAAATATGAATACCACATCTTACATCAAGGACCCAAGAACGAGAAAACGATGAGCTATTAGATAAGATAATGTATATGAAGGGTTTTGAGCATTCTAACACTCCTATGGTGTACATGCAACCCTAGAAACCTTGGATCTATGTTTTCTCTATTATACATGCAAATTTGATTTTCCATGGTTCTCAAACTAACTACCATGTTATGGGGTGCTTGTAATATAAAAAATTGGTAGAATAACATACCTTTTCTTAGTGTTTGATTGCTTGGAGTTATGAGAGCCTAGCACCAATAATGTGGATGCCTCAAGTGGAATCACAAATCACCAAAACACCTTGGTAGACTTGAGAGAATAGAAAGCACACTAGAAATCGGCCACCCTTTGTTCTCACACACACTAGTGTCATTTCATGTGCCAAAGACCTCTTTATATAGTATGAAGGATTAGAGTTACATTCATGTAAACCCTAATACCCATGACCTTTCATTTCAATAGGATCCATGGGGTAAAACTCCATGGACTATCCATACAAGCTTAGCCCATCCTAAATGAACTTGGCCCATTCTATATATATATATATATATATATATATATATATATATATATATATAAGAGTCCATATTTAATTAGTTCCTTTTGATCACTAAATTAATTCCTGATCAATACTAATTAAATAATATCATTTCATACTATTCTCAAAAGATTATCCATATAAATTGTTTCGGTGAAGTGCAACCCAAATTGACCATACCGGTTCGGGTCAAGTACATACCAAATATAGTTATGGACTTAGAAACTTTATCCAACAGTCTCCCACTTGGATAAGTTTGATAACTATAGTTGCAAGTATGACTTTAGGAACTGACCAACAATAGTAGATCTTAAAACTCTGTTGAACTATAAAATGCCATTTTAGATAAGTGATCATATAATCCTCTGTTCCAGATATCAGTCAGACAAGTACATGGAACAAAGTCGTACTTACTGTCCAGCAGTTTGTTTCCCGATTTTCAATTTGTTTGACATAGAACTAAACTGAACACATCAATTTGGTTCTGACCGGGCCCAACACATATATGTCAAAAAAAATCATTGAGGGGTCCATATATCGCTTCTAATCCTCCAAGGACTAAAACGAACAAATAAACTTCGACTCATACGCTTGTTCTAGTAGTTGTTGAATCGCAAAATATAACCCTAAACATGAAATATATAATAACAAATCAAGGAGAATATATATATATAAATTAATCTTCCAATGATAAGTTTGTACACTGAAATAATAACAAATCAAGGAGAATATATATATATATATATATATATATATATATATATATATATATATATATATATATATATATATATATATATAAATTAATCTTCCAATGATAAGTTTGTACACTGCTATTATTCTCAATACCCCCCCCCCCCCCCTTCAAATTTTCTTGAAAATGATCTATAATTCCCGTTTTCTTACACAAAATAGAATTTTGTATATACTCCAAAGACTAGTAAAAGATCAGCAATGTTATGATCTGAATCAACATTTAAAACTTAAACAATACCTCTATAAGCTCTATCTTGAATAAAATGAGTATGTACCTCAAAATGCTTTGTTTTCTCATGAAATACAAGATTCAATACCAACTTTATAGTTGACTCACTATCACATAATATTGGAACATGAATCAAATCTTTAATTCCAAGATCAAAATTTTAGCTAACTCGTCACACAAGTAAAACTATAATTGATTCACCCTTATACAAAAATATTAGGCGTATTCACCATCATATATTTAGCTAAATCGCCACACAAGTCGACAAGAAAGTTTCTAAGACAAGTAAACTTGTATGACGAGGAAGCTATATACATGCCAACAAATGTATATGCATCTAATAGAAATAAATGAGCAGTTGGTTTATTAATTTGTAACATATAAAGAACTTTAAATATTTAGGTTACATACTCGTAGTGAAATAAACAAAATTAAATTCAAGTCACACACTTAATTAAAACAAACATTAAGATAATGAAATCAAACACATTTTGCATCTTAACAACTTATTGCGTGTTTTTTTATTCGTTGTCTCATATTTCCTTTGAACTTCTAATTGATTTTGAGTGATTCAATGAAGCTTTTTCCATCAGTGATGTCATTGCTTGAGAGAAAATTGAGAAAATCCCTGAAACTGCTTTCCTTATAATTTTTAGGATGTTCATCACTAATAAGTTTTTCAGCAGTTGCCATTTTCTCATCAATCCCCATGCTATGGAGACTTGCAATGGAAACCCTAGTCTTCTCATTGTTGACTGTAACCCTATGCACCATGCTTTTGTATAATCCATTGCTAAGTACCTCCACATGGTCGCCTACATGGACTTGGAGGGCCCCGTGTACATCAGGAACCAATCGCCATGTGCCATCTGTAGCATCCATGATCTCAAGTCCACATGAACTATGAAGAACTATGGTAATGCAACTGTAATCTGAATGAGGTGGCAACCCTAATACAAGATGTGGTTTAGGGCATTTTGGGTAGCAATTAACTGCTAGCACTTGCATTCCATCTTCTATTTTGCTTTCAAGATATTTTGGGCCTATCCCAAGGCTTTCAGTTATGGCTCCTATTATCTTAATTGCTAAAAGTCTTGTTTTCATAGCATAATCTCCCGTCTTTTCTCTACATATCCAAACATACTAAAAGTATTAGATGTGATATTGTCAAACATGATTAGAGGACAAAAATAGCAATTTATCATGTTTCTATTTGAAACATAAAATTATTTCCGTACTACATATAAAGTATCAATACATATACAATATAGAATGATGATACATATATGTTTTTCAACGTCGACGCTATATATGATCGACTATGATAGCTCAACACGTGTGCTACAAGTTCCGATAGATCTTAAAGTACATGATTTCTCAACTGTCGTCAAATAATAAATATTGTCGGTGGATGACAAGATATCGTTATTCACGTGATGAAAATATTAAACAAGATGAACCAATAGTCCAACACGTCATGTCAAAAACTTTTTTTGCATACGTATATTAACGAGCAAAATTGTCGTCACACATTTTAATGAGTTTCGACGTACACTTATGCATATGTATACAATTACAAATTGAAGCCTAGTTATTTTAAGGTTTATAAAATTCTCACAAATTAAAACTTACACAAAAAAATAGTTATAAGCTCATCAAAAGCATAATGTATATAAGCTATATGATCTTATAATTTGAAAATATATTACCTAGAAATTGGAAACCAAATATGATGAGTATAAAATTACACATATTCATAAATGTAAGGGTGTAGGTGATTCCACGTCCAAAAAAGGGAAAAATGGTAATTTTAGTGACGCTAAAATTATGTAGGGATACAAAGCTTACACTTTTAAGTAACAAGACTCAAACTCAAGACATTTGGATCATGAAATTTTTTTGGAGGGTTTCCTGTTTACTATTTTAGGGTCCAACTAGTTTTGGACTCAGGGTAAAAAGACGATATTAGACGCCCATGAAACTTGTGATGATGATCTCAATCAAGTGGGGTCTGTTGTAGAAGCTCAAAATAATTTGAATACTCACATAAATATGTTATAATGATATATTAAGTCAAGTGGAATCTGTTTCAGATAACGTAGGCTTGAATTTGGGTTAAGACAGTAACAAAATATATAAAAAGAAATTAAAATTTAAGATTTGTTAATCATATATAATTAAAAAAAAATACTTATTACTAATATATTATTTTCTATAACAATATTAATTATATAAGTGAACTCTCATTTGATCCATCAAATTAAATTTAATAAATTAAGTAACATCATTTTTGTTTTGCCATGGCCAATAAAAAACAGACTATTATATTAGAATCAGAAGTTACAAAAAAAAATGTTATATTTATTTTTGACGTCTAAGACAAAAACATTACATTTATTTGAAACAAAACTTGGTATATCTCTTTCAAAAAAGCAAAACTTGGTTCATTAATTTCTTCCATATCATCAATAAATAGAAAATCTTATAACCATAATCTCGGTCCATATTGTTGACATATATATGTTGTGTGTTTTATTGAATGCCTTTAATTTATTTTAAATGGTTAATTTTTTTATGAAAACGTGTATATTTATACTTTATATTTTAAAATGAATATATCTAACAACGGTGAATGTAAATATACACAAAGACAAATGAAATATATGTTAGGCAAGAGAGATGTTGCCTGTAGTCGGGTGGGTTACTAGGCCATTGTTCGATCCATTCACTCAGAGGATGAGCATACAGTTTAAGAAAAACTCTCCAGAACTGAATTTTGTCCTCTCCATCCTTTATGCTAGTCCCATAACGAACTGGTTTGTGGACGTCATTCGACATGTATTTTTCCTTCTCGTTTGTTGGTAAGTTAAAGAAGTTGAATGCAGTTTCTAATGCATCGTTGAGCACCATTTGTGGTATCCCATGGTTGATTATCTTTAGGAACAAAAAGATAATAATTTAAAAAGAAAACCCTTGCAAATAGATATACAAGACTATATTTGTCAAACTAATTGTTATATGATAAAAAATAACGTTTGATAAAACTAAATGATAACTAACTCAATTTAAAAATGACATATAGAAGATTGAGTGTTTTATGACTACTAGATAGTATACGCTCAATAAACTCATTGAAACGTGTAGTTTTTAGAAAGATGATTTATAAAGTATTTTTTTAGGTTTACAAACATGACAACCTAAAAAAATAAAAATAAAAACAAATCAATTGTGGCGTGCCAAAAATAACTTAATATGAGTATATGACATGAAAATCAAAAAATGGTGTTAAAAACTCACTTGAAAAAACCCAGTCTCGCGACAAGCATTTCCAATTTCTTTCACGATCATGGGTCGTTTCAGAGGATCATCAAGTCCCGCGAAGTCAATAATCACCACATCTGCAATTTCAGGGTTCAAACTAGCTCTATTTGTTGGTGAGATTTCATACGATTTAGGAACATTCAAAGAGCTTGTTTCTTGTGGTGTTTCACCTATGGGGAATGTCTTGTTCTTGTCATGATCACTACTCTCCATCTTAAAACCAAAATCAGAAGTGAATGAAAGAAAATTGTCTACGAGTAGAATGGGTTAATACTACGAAAAGAACTACATGGCTATTTATAGGTTTCTCAATGTGTTGAAGTTTTGGCATTCTAAATATAGATTTATCAATGATGCCATATATAGAAACATTACAAAGATGGTGACAATAGTATAAAGTTGTACTTCGTAGGATATGAACATTAAATATTTTTAATTAATGGGAATACTTCCAAAATCAACGAGTTCCCGGGGCCGATATCAAACAAGTTGTGTTAGGGGAGCATTGTATCCAACATTTTTTGTTTAATAGAACATTGTAGAATTATTCCAGAAGACATGGTTTTTTTATTTGTATTTATTTCGTCATTGTTTTTAAGTGGTATTTGAATTGTAAGTTCACTTGTCTGCAATTCATTTAACATGTATGAGTTACATAAAAGACATTTTAGTTAGACCTGACAATCCGTATCTACATGTCGTACAATCCGTATCTACATGTCGTATATACGTGTCAGATACAAATTTACACGACACGAATTCTAAAACATATCCTATCAAACACGTACACGACATGTAAAAAATTCATGTTACGCGTTACACGACATGAATACACACATTTTTAACTATGTTACATGAATTTAAACGAATAAAAATGTTTCACTTAAGACACGGATTTATTTATATGTGTCACGTGTCGACACTAAAAAACACAAATTTATATGAATATATGTTTTTATACGTGTCACGTGTCGATACAAATTTGTTCCGTGTCTATACGTGTTTAAACGAGTAAATTCACGAAATACGAATTTAAAAATGTATATCAATAAACATGAATTTTTAAAACACATACAAGAAAAAGTCGTACCATGTATCAAATTGACAGTCTAATTTTAGTCTTTGCATTTGTAGATCTTTTATTCAAAGGTATTTAGAGTTTTTAATATTTTACCAAAATATGTAGTTTAAAAAAAATGGACAAAAATGCAGATTTTTGTAAGTGATTTGTGTTTTATATGGTTGACAATTTAGTCTCAAAATGAATATATATGTTCAATAAATAACTATAATTAGCAAGGAATCAAGGAATCAATCATTAGCATCGGAAATCATAATGATCAACGGCTAAAGAAATAGATGTACACTTATATATTGAACGCATACACACCGGATTATACCAAAAAATTCACCTCTTTACCAAAAAACTCACATCTTTTTTTTTCGTTTAAATTCTTTTAGGCCATATTTTTCATCGAAAAAAAAATGAATATACTATTGTTTACGATTTTTCGTATTTTTTCTATAGATATTCATGTTGATATATAAAAATGATTTTTTTTTCGAAAAAAACTCACTTCATTTTGTTATTTTTTTCAATATTTAAGTTTATTTTTATCCAAAAAAAACTAATTATACCAAACATATTAATTTTTCGTACTCTATTAATAAACATTAGCACCGATAAATAAAAAAAAAAAAAAAAACTCAATCAACGTAGATTCATAAGGTTAATCTAAACTGTAAATTCAGATTCACACTGTAAATCTAAACTGTAAATATTTCAATTTGTAACATTCACAATGTGAATTTGACTTACTATTTCAAATTGTTGATCATTCGCAAATTAACTTGGTCAAATTTACATATGAATCAAAATATATTCCATATAGTTTTATAATATTTTAACGTTTTCATTACTTATAAATTAGTTTTGTAAAATCAACAAATGAATTTATTCACATTGTGAATCTAACTTACTATTACTCACACTGTGAATCTAACCAGATTAACAATATAAATCTGAACAGGTTCACAATATGAATCTGAACTGAAATATCGATTTTGTTTTAACATCAATATAAATCTATGTTTAAAGAGTACCAAAAAGTATGAATTTTGATATATTTAATAATTTTTTTCTATATAAAAAAATAAACATTAACTTTTCAACAAACAAATAAAATGATGTGAGATTTTTGAAAAAAAAATCATTTTTTATATATCAATCTATATCAAAGAGGACAAAAGAATTACGAACAATGGTATATTCCAAGTTTTATTATTATTATTATTATTTTTTTTTATAAAAAAACATTGCCTATAAAAAGTTAAACTAAAAAACAAAAAGTGAATTTTGTTTCCGGTGCATGTGCGTCAATTGTAAAAGTTTACAACCATTGTTTTTGTCGTTGATCGCTATAAATTTCGATGTTTTGAATTGGTTCATTGATTCTTTGATTAACAATGATTATCTATTAAATTTTCGGTAAATACAATTACTACTAAGATATCTTAAATGTGTATTAGTAAAATCAGAATTGTTAATTTTTTTTAATAAGAAAAAAAAAATACCAACCCGCTTTTACATAATACATACGAAGCGGTTCCGAAGTGTTGGGGATTGGGATTTGAGTGGTTTTGTGCGCGTGGGGAAAGTTTTTTGGTGTATCTTATCCATTTTCTTTTGGTTGAGCAAATTGGTGCTTGTTAGCTCATTACCTAAAATTCCGTAAATTGCAAACGGCACCCCTCAACTTGATTCAGTTTTTCTTTGACCCGATCTTTACATATGTCACTTTCACGAGGGGTTACTTATTTTCTCTCACAACTTGACTCCCATCACATATCGGATCAGCAAATTTGTTCCGTTTTAGAATGTCGTCACTTAATGTTACTGATTTGTGGAAATCTTTGGTTGTGTTATTGATTCAATTTATAATTTTAGCATCGAATCAAATTGAGTTGTGTATCTTTATTTTTGTTAATTATTGATATAATGCCTTATCTAAGAACCACATAATTCTTCAAAGGTAACAATCGCAATACGAATATAAAACTACAAATAGGTAATCCAATTAATTTGGTCTCGTTAATACTAGTATTTGTGATGGCGGTAAAGGTGGTGGCAGGGAAGGTGGCGGTGACGGTGGTAATGGCGGAAGCAGAACCAAAACCAACAGAGGGTAAAATATATAAAGAAAAAATATAATAAAAATTAATAAAAGAATATGATTTCTTTTAGTTATTTCTTGGGTTTTTTTTTTTTTTTTTTTTTTTTCAAAAATGGGTGCCAAAGAAAACTTAAGTGGGGCTAATTGTTCAATTACATAACAATTTTTTTTTGGGATAATGATTTTAAAAGGTAGTATATTTTTTGATTTGTACACATTTAATCACTGAGTTTTTTTCGTCCATATTTACCCTTTCAACTTGTTAAATTGTACACATTTAGTTTTTATGACCGGCTACTCTAGGTTAACCGGTAATAAAGACTTAATAGGGTAATATATTTATCATTTTGTACACATTTAGTCCTTAATATTTTTGTACACATTTAATCCTTAATATTTTTTTTTTTTTTTTGCAAAATAAGTCATTTTTGTTTTTTTATTCATCCAATACTTATGAATGATTTCTTTAGATTTTTCTCACGACACCTTATGTGAGATAAACATATGGTTGCGGGATAGTTTCAAGTGGTCCTGCTATATGTTGTAGACCAAGATACTTGGTGCGGGCCGTCTATAAGCTGTAGGCACGAAGACTCGAAAAGAGCGGTTGGATTAATGCGTCATACCAACAAACCATGAGTATTCCAGTCCGATTACTGATTGGACTTGTTGCATGTTGGCATTCCAGTCCGATGACTGGTTGGGCCAATGTATACCAATCTAATGAGTATGGGTCCGTTATGCACAACAATACGTTTGTTGTGTTGGGTATTTTGGGGGAAACTCACTAAACTCCGTGCTTTCCCAATTATTTATGTTTTTAGGTTCTATCGTTGGTCGTGGGAAAGCGAATGCATGGCTATACACACTCATCAACATTATTTAGGATTACACATTTTCTTATATTACTCTGATTTTCGATAAATGTATTTTGGAATAAACGTTTTTTCTTAATAATGGATTTATAATTATGGAGTTTTGCCTTATATAATTAATGAAATTTTTTGGTTGTGAAAATAAGACATTACACATAAACATCAACAGCCTCACACACTTCATCAATGATTGTCCCATGTAAGATGTCATAAGAAAAACCTAAAGAAAACATTCATAAGTACTGAATGTGTACAAAAACAAAAATGACTTATTTTGAAACAAAAAAATATTAAGGACTAAATATGTACAAAAATATTAAGGACTAAATGTGTACAAAATGAAAAATATATTACCCTATTAAAGAAAAAACATCATAAATGGTCCCTGTGTTTTCCCAGATTCTGAAGTTTAGTCCCCGTAGTTTAAAAATCTCATAGTTGGTCCCTATGCTTTCAAAACTTTTGACAGGTGGTCCTTATCCCTCACACCGTTAGAATCCCACCATTAACCCTTATTTCATTAAAATAATATAAGGGTAAATCGGTCTTTTCACCTGTGCCCTCTTCTTTATAACCAAATGCATGTCTATATTGGTCTAACCCTTCTCGCACCCACCGTCTTCTACTCTCACTCTACTGCTCACTCTACTGTGCATCGAATTCCAAAACGATTTCTGCGAGTGTCGAAGATGGCGATTTGTAGATGTGGAATGGAAACAACGAAGTTGACCTCATGGACGGATCGTAACCCAGGAAGGCAATTTTTGAATTGTTCAAGATGTGGGTTCGTAAGGTGGGTTGACCCTCCGATGTGTGCAAGGGCATTGGTGGTGATTCCAGGTTTAATAAGATCAATGAATCGATTGTAAGAGAGGGTTGCAATTGCAAGTGCAGAACTGTGGAACTACCGGCTTATGTTGTTCTGTTCATGGATGATTTTTTTTTTGGTTTTATTTTAACTAGTAAGGATTTGGATGGTAATAGGATGGGGGTTTTTGGTTTCTTTGTACGCATCTAACTAGTTCAGGGGGTTTTGGATATTGATGGAATGGGTATTTTTGGTTTCATTTTGTTGTATGAAGTGTAACACATTAAGTTAACGGAAATGATGATTATGTATTTTGTTATAAATCTGTGGTTTTGATGTTCATTTTCGTATGATGCA